CGCAAGCTATTACCAGGCTCCACTTGATGGCTCGACAAGTCAATGGAAAGTAGCGGAAGTGCATGATGCTACCACCCCCATGCCGAATCACGTCTTTTTTTCTGTCGCTGTTACCCTAGACAAGCTATTCAAGGTATTCTGAAGCAGTTACGACTACACCAGAGTTGCTGTGAACCGAATTTTGTTCCCTTTGTGGTAGTACTGTAGGCGATAAGGCTCTTGGCCACGAAGTGCCATCCGCTGCGTTTTCGGGGATGCTGCTGCCTACAGGTTCCGACCTTCTATGCTCTTCTCAATTTGAGGGGGTAAGGTAAGCAAGCGTCACAGCGATCGCGGTGGGACTTGCTACGAGTACATACGAATGCACTCGACCTGCGAGCCAACTGACAGACACGGAAACGCGGATGATGTACTCATTCTGGCCTTCACATTGATGAAACTCTTGTTCGCTGCGGATTCGGGGTGTTTTTGGTGATGCTTTGCAGTGGCGTCAGCCTGTTCTCCACCAACTGAGGAAGCTGGCTTGCTGGCGCCTCGCCAAATCGAGCATTTCGGCACGCCCTCGCCTCCGCAGCGAACAAGACCGTAACCAAGGCACGTAACGGTTTACAAGCTCCGGGTGTGCCAGTACCCCTATGGGAGTCTTCGCCTTCTCACAGTGGTACCGTAGCAAACTCGTAAACGTCAACAAGAATGTGCCGTCTCAAACACATGAGTTTTCCGGTTACATGAATAAATGCGTGCCTGATCACGTTAAGTATAGCACGGACATTATTTTAGTGACTTTTGATGAACTGAAAATGATGCGCCGATTTTTCAAATTGATCTCTGACTGGTTTGTATATTCAGCTCCTCTACTTGCTCATAGAAATGATGGGACCATTTCGAACAATCACGTAAAAACCGTTTGTCAAAACCAAATGGTGCCCATTTACCTCAGCGTTTGATGAATTTTATTAGGATAGGTTTATTGTCACGCGAACCGCAACGCTCGTTTTTATAGGTACTGAACAATAAAAAGGGTCTGAATTTTAGTTCTCAA